TGAAAAAATCTCGGAATATTTTCTGCTTACGAAAAGATGCTCTTAAGTCTTGGCTATCGAATAGTGAAAACAGTGAGTCTTCATCTACTTTCGTTCAACAGTTATTCAAAGAACTGCTCTTGTATTTTGGTTTCGATAATAGTATCATTCAAATGCTCGTTTGATTTTCCAGTTAATTCATGAATAGGTGAATTTACATGGGTTGGGCGTAAAAAAAACCAGTTAGCTTCAATATTTTTTGATTCTGCATAAAACGTTACTTATATTAGTCAAAGTTGGAGCTTATTAACTTAAACCGGGACTGAACTAAAGCTGAGAGCAATTTCATACAGGCTGCACTATCTGTCATAACTATGACTATTGTCTATTCACTGTTTTTTTCAGAGAAATCATCAATCTGTTGACTGCTGAACTGTTTTTAATGCACTCTTGCTGAAAGAGTTGATCGTCATTGATAGTGTTCATTTTTTTAAAAGTATCGCCATTGATGTCATCAGTTTATAGGGATTGAAAAAATCCTTTTCAATTCCTTCACAAATGTTATGTTTTGTCAACTGAAAATTTTAATTTTTCAACTCAAATTAGAATCGCATAAAATTACGAATTTCTAGATAAATTTTTTTAGAGCTGAACCAAGAAATCGTTAATAAATCAATACAACAGTGTGTCTGTATGATAACTGACTTTTTACCTTGAGAAAGTGTTAATATGTTCGAGGAAAGTTCATGGAGAGGGTTGATTTTATTGGGTAAAATGGATCTTTTTCTATTAAATTTATAATGAATTTCCTTTTCCTTTTTTTTTTTATCCGATGTCGTCAAGCCGATGAGCGTGTCTTCTGGTATCTAGGCGGACAAACTAATTGCCAAACTTACATTTATAAATAATGTGTGCAAGAGTTTATGTATGGTGTTTGTTCTGTATTAAGTTTATATTAGAAAGTCAATCAAATAAGTGTGTATTGGTCTAGAAATAAACACTTGCAGCAGAATAAAAGCCCCGGATGTAGGATAATTATGGAAGAGAATTTGTTATTATATTGAGTACGAAAAAGTATTTTGAATTATATTGTTCTTAGAAAATAACATGTTTTTTCTCAGAAGCGATAGTCTATAATTACAAAAGCACTACCACAATTCTTTATTAACTATCATGAAGAATGAGAAGCCAACGAACAAAAGGTTTAATTTGCTATGTCTTTATTGCTGAGAGCATTTGTTGTGTTTATTATATCGAAAAGTGTCATTTTCGATCTCATACACGTACACTAATTCAACAGATATAGATACGTTAACCGTATCCCTGCCACCATCAAGCAAATTCTCCGCCCTTTTTCCCCACCCAGAAAATAAAAAAACTTAATAATATAAAGTACATAAAAAAACATATTTTTAGTCAAAAAAATCCATAATGATGCCTGAATTTGATGTATCGCTTTTAAAAATTGATTCATACATCAAAATATTTGATTAGCTTGATATAATAAAATAAATGATTTGAAAAAACTTCATGTAATCACCTATTTAAAACTTTACACTGCTGACCGTTTTAAAATCCAATACGTTACCGCCGACAAAAGGATCGATTGTCATGTGCAAATACATAAAAACTCAATTCATTTTTACGAATGAAATCTATGGCTGTTCTTGGCGAAAGATAAACGTGATGATGAAAGATAAACGTTTTCTAAAAATTACTTCCGACATTGGGTAGAAAATAACGTGACGAAACACGAGATGTGCGTGACTGTCACCGTGACCATGTAAAAAATTAATGGTTACGATAACTTAAAGTAGAAAAAACTGATGAAAGCTTCTTTATTATTTTTTGTTGAGCTCTTTCACTAATTTCAGGTGTAATAATTATTTTTTCTCTCACAAACACTTAACAGCGAATGACGACTGTGCGCTAATACTTCTGAATCTGAGAAAAAACCACGTAAAGTTTTTGAAAAAAATTTCTAGTGACCACCGTTACCGTGACCAGAAAACCTTAGCCACACACATCTCTACACAAAATTTATCAACATAAAGAAAAAGTAAAGTTCAGTAGAATTGTGAAAAAGTGTATTTTCCGTCGTAGTATAGTCGATAATCTCGAAAATTTTCTATTTTTAGCAAGAAGCATTGTCAAAAATTTGAAAAACATTTTCGAACAAAATCGCGGAAAAAGATCTCAATAGGAAAATAAATTTTCTTAGACGTCTGGCAATATATTATCGACTGGGTTGAATCTAAGAAAGCACTCTTCCCTGATTCTTACACAAACTTTATCTATCACTTGTCTTTATTTATTTCTTGTAATATGACTTTAAAACTTGGAAAAAAAATTCGCAAAATAGGTGTTTTCTACACACTTTGTGATTCGGCAATACAAAACGTTGAATTGCTCTTGTGGCAGGGTTCTCATTGGAACTCGCATAAAAGAAATTACGCAACATCCCGTGAGATTTTCAGTGAACTCACATACAGATTGGAAAATAGAACGAGCAGAATTTGACTCACTCTTCAATACAAAATTGAATTTTTCGATATTCAGCCAGGAAGATCAGAGCGTGTGATGAGAGGCAGATAAAAACGCCTAGATAAATAACGCAACTTTCTCTGAGGAAAGGCAATAATTCATAAAGGGTCCTGTTTTGACGTCGTAGTGGATTTTCCGTGATCATGATCAGACATGTGCGCCGTCGAAAAGTGTTCGGCGGTGTTTGAATTTTACCTGGTCGGCGGTGCCAAACCTCAAAATGTTTTCGGCAGCGCAAAGCTTTCCATTCGGCGAGGGCGAGCGGTGTAAGACTGAAAATTTCGAAGCCAGCGGCGAACCGTTTTTCTTCGTCAAAGTTATTATTATTAGCTGTCATTATCTGTCCAGCCATTTGTCGCAACTTACAAGAAAATAACTCATGAGGTTTTTTTTGGTTGATCGGCTAATCGATCCGTCACAGCTCATGGCGACTGCGATCAAAACTACGATTTCATTGCAATTCAATCGCGATTGTGTACCATGAAATCGCAGTTTTCTCTACCATCTTCATGAGCTGTGACGGATCGATTAGCCGATCAACCAAAGAAAAAACCTCATAGGAATGTTTAAGACTGCAATGCGATTGAGGGAACAACGGAAAAGGTGGATATGACGTTTTGTAATTACAAGACACGAGGTGTTTTTTCAATTCTGTCAAATGCCAATTATTTCAGTGGGCGGCGTCGGCGTGTGATTACCCAGAAATTTTCCGCTCTCGCCAGCGTACGTATCTGGTCATGATTGTGATTGATACATTCTCGATATTTCTCTGTTTAATAAATAATAATATGAAACTGATTGTAAAGAATCTTCAAATCGGAGAGAAGTATTTGATTCTAAACGTTTAAGTACGGAAAATTTCCGTCTTCGTTTATATGAATGTCAAAATATGAATTTTCAGAAAGTGGTTATTTCTTTTTTGTATTGAACAGAAGTTTTATTTAACAGAGAAAACTTTTCTCTGTCAACATCTCTACATCTTCTGTCTCTGTCCATGCAGAGGCTAAGTCACTTTTACGAGTTCTTTTTTAGCACCCTTTGTATTGATGAATTGACAAAACTGTAGCGATAAATTTAACGTTCTTGATCTATTTTCAAATAAACCAATCAAAAAAGTATTTTTCGCTTTTTCAGTTATATTAAGTAGTTTGTTTTCGACTTCTGTGTGAAATTTTGGAAAAAAAGAAACAAACGAAACACGTTATTTGTGTTCTTACAACTTAAACTAGCCTATGTCAAGCATAAAAAAGAATCAGTAACTGTCTCTGTCGGAATAATTTAAAGCACAATCTTTCACTCATAGGTACAAAAGTCGTAAGTGAAAATGATCTTTATTCCTAACAGTTACTATAATTCTGTAGTTTATTTATGTACACGTACACAAGACTTAAGAGAAAAATTAATAATACTTAAAAGTTGAATCTGTTACAGTTTTGGTTACAGTAATCTTAAACTGACTTGTTCAAATCGGAAAGAGAGTTGAGATCATGCTACATCTTTGAAACAGTACAGTTAGTGAAAAGTCATATATATACTGAAAATTTTAAGCGGTGGCATTTTTCAAAAGGCTTAGCTAGGTGAATATGTGCGGCAAGATCTTGAACAGGCTGTATTTTTTACGAGGCAACGAGAAATAACGCTGAAGCAGAAAGTTTTGCTGAATAAGCTCTAATTATAGATACAGCTGTAGAAATTTTCTCGAATTAATCCTTTCGTTACGGTTTCTTTTTTGGAAAAATGACAAAAAATTTGATTTTTTCAAAAAAGAGCCGCCAAGGAAGATGTATACATACATTGTGGTGCTACACGATGACGTTGTGATACAACATGAGACATAGACAACATGAGAGAAAGAGAGAACACTCTTATGGCCTGACCAAGAGGAAAGGTACACCCGTAATCTGAGCAAAAGCTCAAAACGTATATATACGGACCCCGTAACGAAAGAGTTAAAAACCTTTTATAAGAGGGTAGTAAACTAAGGCTACTACTTTCTTGCACATTTGTTATCAAAATGACTGGAGCTGTTGCAGAATTCAGTTCGAAGATTACTCTTTCAACTTCAGAATTTAAAAATTATTAGTCAATGGAATCCAAAAAATTATTTGTTGGAAATTTAGCAAGACGAATTGATCAAGATGATTTACTAAACGTATTTGGACGATATGGAAAAATAATTGAATGTGCAAAATTTCATGAGAGTTATGGTTTCGTTCGTTATGATCGTGTCGAAGATGCATCAGTTGCTTTACATGCAACACAGGGTACAAGTTTAAAAAATCGTCCAATGAAAGTAGAATTTGCACAGAGTGACACATTACCAGAAAAGCCGTTATCATCACCACCAAGACAAATATCAGCTTCAGGAAGAAAAAGTAAGTGGAGTATTTTTATGTACTTTTAATACATAAATGGATTTCTACTTTTCCTCTAGACTGTGTTAATCGTATACTACGTTTTCAAACTGACAACGCACATTCAAAACCGAGAACTAGAAAATCGATGGAAAAATCCATACAAAAAATTCAGATTTGTAAGTTTTCCGTTTATGGGCACATTGTAAGAAGGAAATAAGGAACAGTTATGCAAAACCGCTATCCCCCATTCCTTCTATTTTTTACTTGTAACTATTATTACTATCTGTTTCAAAATGAATTGCACTCCATTGTTTTTTGGATAATTTTTGATAGGAATGGTGCAGGTGGTGTGCCTGGCAAATCTTTATCTCGCTGTTGAGACCTTTATGTTTAAAACATTAAAACAAACGTATAAAGCCTAGGATGTTCTCTGTCGATCTGCGCAAGTCCGACCTCTCTAGCTTCTATAATTTACCGAAACTAATAGGACTGAGACAGGTAGGCCTCCGTAAAATGCCTGCCACCCAGGCAGTGTTTTATCTAGGTTTCGTTTTTCGGATGGGCGGTTGAAATTTTTGGAGGGGCTGTTGGCTAAAAGAACTTTTGCTAAAACGAAATCACCTATTGATTTTCGGAAGGGCGAAGCGAAAATTCGGATGGGCGCCGCACACATGGCCTACACACTAGATAAATCACTGCACCCAGGAACCATAGAACCTGGAAAGAACGAACTTACACAGATCGGCAGAGGACATCCTAGGCTTTATACGTTTGTTTTAATGTTTTAAACATAGAGGTCTCTAGAGGAAGTCAAAGAGGAACGACTTCTTGTAAATATTTACCAGGCACACCACCTGCAGGTAATCTCAGCAACTTTATTTTTTCATAGGTACCTCTCTTCTGATCGTCTCTACATAGTGGTGAAAACTGCAAGTCTCTACCTCACTCCTATAAAAAATTATTCAAAAAACAATGGAGTGCAATTTATTTTATGCCCAAGCGTTGTAACATGAAGACCAAAGCGTTTGAAACCTATTTCTTCTCTCTTCTATTTTAGCTAAATATTGTGTACTGCTTAATACATCTTGTGACTTAACAACTCCACCTTCGTCTCCATCAACAACAACATCAACAACTGTCTCATCATCCTTACCCATGTCACCTGCATCTTCATTATCTTGCTGTTCGTCAAACAGTTTTTATCAATTTATAGATTGGTCACCAAATGATAATAATAGTTTGTATCCAATATGGAATTTTGTTATGTTTCCTGAACTTGCATTAAAACCAGAAGAATTATCAAGTTATATTTTATATTGAAATCAATTACACTCTCTCTGTATAAGATACATTTTTCGGTTGTGCGTGTCTAGTTTCGATTTTTGTCTTTGAATTCAAGGTTGTCATGTTTTTCTATGAAAATCTTTTTTAAAATCTTTTTTCTAATTAGTTAGTTGTATATACTTGAATTGTCAAATTTTGTTTATTCTTTGTTAACAATTCTATTGTCTTTCTTTGTTACTTCTGTACATAGTGTAAAACAGTGTTACCATTACATGGTATAGTTTCAATGAACATGTGATTACTTAGTGTTTCTTCGCACTATTTGAGAATGTTTGTAAATAGTATTTATGTATGACGGTGAAAGATATTAGCCGGTGTGTTTATGTGCAAAAAAGACACAAAACTGTTGTTTTTACGAAAATTTTGCTGTTTTATGTTTTACATTTCTCTAGGTGTGTGTCTGTATACCGTTGATTAGTTATTTTAAAACATATTTTTTTATTAAACAGGATAAAATCTTGTTTTAACTATTTTTCGTTGTTTTCGTCGTTTGTACCACTTCCTTTTTTCTACGACTCATTTTCTTTTTCTCGAAAAATGTGATGTGCTTATCCTAATAATGGCACAAGAAATTGATTCATTCTGAGGAAAGTTTCCTCCTTATTTCCTTTTCATATATTTTTGGTATTTGTATATAGTTAGCATTAGTTTTTGTGTTTATCTTGAATATTCTCGTAAAATGCGTATGCCGATGTTCAAAAATTGTATAAAATTTATACTAGAAATTGATAGAAAAAAAATGTATTTTGATTATCATGTTTGCTTTTTTTTAAAATAAACTTGAACCATTGTGAAGGCCAAAATTAAGAATAAGAATTTTAAGACTGTTGCGAGCAGCACGATTTAATTTTAATTAACTTTTTTTGAAAATTAAAATTAAAATACATTTTTTGTATACATTTTCACTTTTTTGGTGAAAATCTCGGTAGTTTTTCGACAAAAAAACATAAAGTGGCCGGATAGAAAAAAAGGTATATCATTCGACTCAGTTATCGACTATGACTTCAAAAGCTTAGGAAAAATTTAGAAACTAATAATTGTCCCATGGAAGTTTTCACCATGTTGATTGAAAATTTTTCCTAAACTTTTGACAGTACCCTTCGTTGAAAATAGAAAATCTTCTGGGTCGAGTGTGCTGAATACAACTGATTTCCGCGACTCTAAGTGAACTTTATTTTTTTCTTAACGTTGGTATAAAAAACAAGCAAATGATACTTTTCAAGCTAAGCTTTCGGCGGTTCTAACGAAGTAAATAGGTCGGCTTGATCTGTTCACAAAAAGAACTGGATACTTTGCAAAATTTTTTATGAATTTTTTACAGGAATAGTCCAAGACATCCAGAATGGATAGACCTTTGAATTCAACCTCGATCAAACATCAGATTCATACTCAGTTTTAGTGCCGAATCTGAAAATAATACTTTCAAAAAGTTAGAAGAACACAACGTAGGAAAACTTCAAGATTTTTGAAACTGAACCGTATTTCGAGATTTCTACATCCTTTGGATTTTTTCAAATTTTCTCCCATAAAAACCCTTTTTAAAACTTAAAACACACACGCATTCTTAATCAACTCGATGCGCTCTATTCAACCGTATAAACTATCGCAAAAAAAAAGATTTTTGCTCGATTTTTGAATCAGCGACACCTTAGTGACCTATAAATTGGAAATAGCCGAAACAATAGGTCAAAATATCAAAATTACTAATATATTTTAATTCTAATTTTCAAAAAAATTTAATTAAATTTAAATCGTGCAGTCTTAAAATTCTTATTCAGCTTTGATATTGTTGCAAGTTACGATAGCGAAGTAAACAGAAAGTAAAGAAGTGATGAATAGATGTTGACAGTAGTTATATCGACACGACCTTGATATCAATGCTTGTGCTTGAGGATTCCCGAAAATTTTACAGTAAGAAAATAGGTAGTAACTGCACTTTCGTAGAAATCTTTCAAGTCGTATTTTAGATCGCTGTAGATAGTCTTCCTCGCATTTTCACCTTTCGCCAGTTGCCGGCTATTTTCAGTGTCGATCTCGATCTGCTCTTCTTCTTAATAAAAATCCCTTGATCTTTATTGATCAGTTACATAAAAACTGAATTTCTTGAAAGATGAAGAATTTAGCAGACAGAGATCTAGAGATATTGATTCCAACTCGTCTTCAGTCTATCCCTTTACCCCGGCAACTGATCGTCTAAACTGAACTTGAAACTCTTATACCTTTGTTTAAGCTTAATAAAATAAATTTTTTTATTAGCAATCGCTACCTGGCGATGTTAGCTTACACTAAGAAAAAAATCCGTTTTTTTTTTGCCACATCACCATCTTGTTATAGCAATTTCAGATGTTCACTAATGTCCACATCTATGGACATCCGGGACTGAATGGCTATACTATATCTAAAAAAAACTATATCAAAATACACTAGTCGAAAATTAGCTCGGACTGAAAAACTGAATCAGCTAGAAACTGAATCGGTTTTATCAGGACTGAATCAGGTCAGAAACTAAAATGTGTCCTCTGATTCACAGATGATAACTCGGAATCAGGACTGAAATTTCTGAAAAAGACAATTTTCGAAATTTCAGAGCTGATTTCGGTGAGATATTTCAGCTCTGAATTAGAGATGTGCAGGGTAACTGTTTACGGAGCCATTGCCCTACCCTGTGAAAAGTTTTTGAGCCCTGGCCCTATCCTACCCTTTGAAAATTTGAGACTTTTTCATTTACAATTATTTCTTTATTTTTTTAAATAAATGAATCATATTGATAAAAATTCTTTTTTAAAATTTCGTAGCAACGTAATGTCATCGATCGTTTCTTCGTCCAGTCTTTGTTGTTGTTCTTATATATTGCCAATTGCACCAAAAATGGGTGTCTTGCATCCGATAAAATAAAGAGTTTAAAATAACTGTCGCTAGCAACCGACCTCAATATTGTACCGACGATATATCTTTTTTAGACGAAGCCCTGGGCCTACCCTACTCTGTGACTTTGAAGCCCTATCCCTACCCTACCCTGTACAGGGTAGTGCGCCCTGCACATCTCTACTCTGAATCTGTTATTAGAAGAAAAAGTTTCATGTTATAATTTTGAATAGGAAAATTAGATAAATATCGATATACTAATATTATAAATATTTAAGAACAGTATTGCCTTGGGTAGGACGATACTATCACCATTAAGCCAAATAGACGAAAACATGTGGTTACTTGAGTCTGTCTTGATAGCATTGGAATGATGTTCAGTGCTGAATCAGTAAGAAGCAAAAGAGAAGAAAAAGCTTTTTGTGGAAAGTAAGTTTTATACTTTTCTCGGAGCCGATTCCAACTCTGATTCAGCCCAGATAAAACTGCATAGTTGACTCAGCTTTTCAGACTGAGATGGTTGTCGATTGATGTATACAATATTTTAAGAAAAGGTAGGACATTTTTAAGCTTTTATACTGGATGCGAACAGATTTATTTTTAAATTTAAAAGATCAGATAATGACATTTCAGACGGTGCTACAAGAACGGTAAAAAAAGCACATGGAGTGTTGATAGTATAGCGTTATCCGCATTCAGTATCAAAAACTAGATGTAAAGTCTAATTTTCAGCTAGATCTGATGGCTGAATCAGAATGTAATACCTCAGAACGATCAAAACTTCAGTTCAATACCTCGAGATCTCTGTCTCTTAAATTCTTCATTTTTTTGAGAAAGCACAGTTTTTACGTAACTGATTATACTTTCAGAGGGAGAAAAGATCGAGAGCAGCATCGAACGCCGCAAAAAAATCAGTGCACTATAGACAATGAGATAGATTCTGTCACTTGCGAAGAAAGTCGATGGAAGATTGTAGATGAGTACATCCTCTATCAAATTTTCGTTTACAAAATTTCTTATTTCCATCAACTTGTTCTTTTAGTACTTTTGACAAAGAAGTTTTTAGAAGTGCGCTTTCTTCGCACAGGAAATAGTGCATTTAGCTGGTACTTTTAGCTGATTTTAAAGCCGATTTACTTATGCAAGCTGATCTATATCCGACTAAAGCACGATATTGACCAGCAAAGTCTTTATCCATCAATTTTCTTTCAGCTATAATTTTAGGATCCACTGTGCTATATGCCGTTTGATTTTGAAGTGCCATTCGATAGGCCGCATCTAAATTTTGAATACCTTGCTGCATCACAAGTGTACCATGAACCATTTTCGGTGTTGGTAAAGATGTTGATACACTTTGTTGTAATTGATTTTTCGTTGTACCTGTCGCTGCTTGACTAAGCATGGATAAAAGTGGATTCCCTGCTGTGTGTTGTCGATTTAAAGTTGGTGTAGTTCTTGGTCTATTCCAAAGGAATTCTGTTGGTTTAATGGGGGGTGGTTCATCCTTTGGCTTTAATTGATCGAGAAGAATGAGCAATGGACGTTGTTGTTCACTCGGTTGTGTAGGAAAAATTTCACTTAATTGTTTGTTGTTGAAATTTGGCATGGAACGACTATTAAACCATGGTTTGTCTAAAACACAGATGAATCAATATTGAGAATTATAATTATATTGAAAATACTGTTGAAATTTTGTTTTTTATGTAAAGAAAATTTACCCTGCCATTCATTATTTATTCTCCAATGTTGAGTTTTACTTGGCTTGACATATCGTACAACATCTTGATAATGTGACAACATGGTCTGTGCTTGACGTCTTATTTTAGCTAATTGTTGATGTAAATCTTTATTCATAAAAGTAATTTCTCTTGTTAAACGTCGTTGTTCAATTTTATTTAGTCTGGCCGCATTTGCTTGAAAAGCACTTAGTACAACCTCGCCTTTTGAACTTTTTTGCATACTATTTTAGGCTAAGGTTTATTCGTTTTGACCGACTATTTTGTTCTGTCTCTCAGCAGATTTGAACTGAATATATAATATGTTTCTAGGGAAGCCAATTCGCATTATTTTTGAAATTGTAGGAAAAAATATCAATGAATGAAACCTTTCCAGTGTAAATTATTAAAAAAACTCTCAAATAACTAAAACATGTACAATGAGAGTTAAAAGAATTCATCAATATATCAATGCCATTTTTAAACAAATTATAGTTTCATAAAAAAAATGTGTCTTAATAAATTGATGATCGACTGTGCTGACTCATGACCTGATACTGTATAGATTTCGAGATTTTCAAAATATCTGGCCTTCTGGATCGGTGATTAGAGAACCATCAAAACCTTGATAACATTTTGAATTGTTATTAAGGCGACCATAAAGAATGATTAAAAAAAAACTAAATATTTTCTCTGGAAGTTTGAAACAGATTGATTATTTAATGACGAAGGTATGAATCCCTAGATTACGATCATGCACGAGACGGTACACAGATATCGAAAAATACTAATGAAATTTTTTTACTTTGAATTTAATTAAATTCAAATAGATGTAGCCTGTGAAAATAGTGACAATACTGACTGTAGAGATGTTCAAGTCGATCTTGCCTTCAGATCAGGAATAGGTCACAAAATGTGCACAGCAGAGTACTCCAAAGAACTTTCATCGAAACTATTTCATCTAAATAATTTTAATTTTAATAAAAGTTCTATTTTGATCAAATATATTTTGAGTAATTTATTTCGATGAAAGTTCGCAATATCGGGCAGAACGTATGTCTTATTTTAAGCTGATTTGAAAAAATATTAGAATAGCAACGAGAAGTGATGAAACTGTCGATGAAATATACTACTATTGTGAAATGAGATATAATTTTTAAACATATGTTTATGTCTTACAGTGGAGTAAATTTCTTTATGTCTTAGAATGGAGTAAATGATTAATTTAAATAATAATTTAAACTGCATTAAATGTTAAGTTTTTTTGTTTTATTAGTTCTACGATATCTTGTGAATCTTTGAAAAAACTTTACCGCATGCTTTTTCCATGCATTCTGAACTCGCCTTGTACAGGAAGATCAGTGGTGAAAGTAAAAATCTCTTTTTTGGCTGCTTTCATATTTTTAAAACAAAAATTTTTTTAATGGAACGATCTTTTTTTGAATTTATGTCACGTTTCAGTATTTTTAACCTGCTGACACAATCATAGACTCTCTTACTAGACGATATATCTTGTTTTGTTGCCAAATATTTCCTCTATTAAATGAGTTATTGATAAGAAGTCTGCTAAGTATTCTCAGAGTTTTAATCAAAACACTAAGACATGTTTTATATTGGATACCGAGCATGCATACGTTCAGAATAGCGTAAATATTGGGTAGGGAGCGCGTCTCATTTTTTTTTTCAAGAAAAAGAATGGAAAAATTATTTTTCTTCATGAGCAAAAAGTTATGCTTTTAGAATATACCTCACCTTCTGCCTTTTATATATAGCGAAACTCCTGCACGTTCAAGAAAAATCTCATAACTCAACAATCTTAGGCTTCCAAAGGATAAGACTATAGATTTCTTACTTTGTTCGTTGCAGGATAAAATGGGATACTAGTCAAGCAAAATTAAATTTTCTACATGATGCATCTTATGTGGAAAATGCTCGATTCATTCTTATAAAATCTCACAAATCTTAGATCTGTGTATAATACTTTTTAGTCGATGTTAATAATGATATTGATCAAGTTTTGTTGAGCCAATAATTCAAGGATGTATCAGATGCCTTGATGATGACATCGATATCAGAATGAGTGCTGCCAGTTCTAATGTCACTTGTGTTTGAATATTTCCTTCTCAAAATGAGGTAGACAATCGGCGATACAATCACGGATACTCAGAATATGTTTTGGCTAAATCGAGATATGACGCTCTTGCCTTAATACTATGTGTTAGTTTGAGAAAATCCTACCATCATCTTTGAAACCACTGTTTACCCCATTATCAACCGTAACCAGCCGCACTGAAACTTTTGGTGTGTAATCCATCACATTTGATCTTTTGTGAAAACTTTCAGCCTTTTCTTTCATAAGAAAGAAAAATGAAATTTGAAGTTTAAAGAGAGGTTTTCCTGGGTTACTACGGCTTTTGTACTTTCTGTTACCCCTACCAGACGGACGGACATCATTCTGTAGAGACTCAGATGAATACAGATTATAATTGTGACTGTAGTTCTGTGTTTAATGAAAGTTTTCTTCTGCCGTATAATCGTACATGTAGAATAAAATTAAGCTGAAAAGTGCGACAATAAGGACTGCTCCATAAGTAGACAACTGATGTAGACAACTTTTAAAATTTACTTCTGTTGCCTTATGATGTGTATTTCAAACTAAAAGAATGAAAAAGTAACTGATAACATTTCAAGAAAAGTATATTGCTTCGAAATAAAAGCAAATTTCATGTAGCACTCAAAAACACAAATTTGTTTGAATCCATAATCATTGCGTACCATTATACGAGAACGACACGTCATTCTGTGCTTTGTACTATACTTGTACTCAACCAAGTCTAACAGGTTTCGTCTGTAGGTGCAAAATGAAACTTGATTAAAAGAACTTACGTAGTAGTGTATTTGCATCCATTTTCCGTAATCATTTTGATAAAAAGTTTGCCAAAATACAGAAAGTCCGCAAAATTTCTTTATTCAACCGCACTTCTCATTTTAAAAACTAGAACAAGTCTCATTTATTTTTGAGATAATAAAATTCTAATAAACACACACTCGTAGTCTATACATTATTAATTAGTTAGAGTGTTACGCGTTTTTCGAAGAACAGAGTCAGAATTCCTTAGCAGATGCTTCTACTATTTTGGAGATCGAATTTTTCTCAAACTACGAATTTAGAAATGTTTATTGAGAACTTCTCGTATTTTGGTAAACTTACCGTTAAAATGGTTATGTAAAATGTATTCAAATACATCAGTCAATGGAAAATTCAATATTTCGCACAGTCATGATAGTTTCCAAATGTTTTGCTATACTGCACTGAGACAATTAGTAAAGAATAGCGGAATCAAGTTACACTATTCATCTTTCTTAATATATTACATAAACTTTTACGTCTTGTCTGTGCATACAGGTATACATCAGTCTAAAGAACTAAAAATAATCGTTGACATTTTCTCAAGAGATATTTTCCAACACAAATCTAAATTCATCAGTGACTTTTTCAAATGATCTTATAGCTGTAGTGATTGACAAAATCAAAAATAATAAACTAAATTTTTGATCGACTCTGTACGTCTTGCTAACATATAACAAAAATGAGCGTAACGTGTCCATTTGCAGCACAGCTCAAAATTTTCGATTTTATTTGAATGTTGCAAAAATCCTTTAGTTTTTAACTTCATAAAGTAGATTGAATTGTCTTTTGAAAATTCATTTCAAACAATTAACAGCAAAGTATAAAAAGAAGAAAAAGGTCAAACAAATAAACTATATATTTTCTTAGAAAAAGAAAGAAAAAGAAAACTGACAAATAAATTTTGTTCTAAGCTTAAAAAGATTAAGTGAAAAAACGTTCATGATTATTCACTTAGAACAACAACAACAAAAAAAAAAGAATGATATTATCATCAAATTATTTTTTTTTGTAAGAAAATAAAAAATATCAAAGATGTAATGAAAAGTCTGATGCTACGACGAACAATATATTAGCAAACAATAACGGTATGACTCTACAAAATAGAAATCATTCTCTAGTAGTTTTAATGAGAATCACAAGAGAAACAAATCCAAACAGATTGAAGTGAAGGATCTAGTTATAATGAACTTACTACTACTAGGTAGTATGATTTTGTGTGTATGTGTGTCTATACATATAGTAATTTTTAATTGATAGGTGTCAATGGTTGAAATAATAACACAAATGAAAAATAATAGAAACAAAATGAAAAAACGTATAGCACCAAAAAAAATAGAATAGCACACGTATGATTAATTACAATAAACACAAAATCTGGATATTGAGAAAAATAAAAAAAGAAACAGCACACAAGATAAGCGGTCATATTCTAGAAGTTCTGTCTGACTGGAAGACATGTCTTAACAGCAACATTTTGCTGTATGAATTCTTTTTTTTTTGACTTAAAATAGTCATGAGACAATTAGATAGATGGAAGAAAAAGCGAAACACTGATCAATAAACGTAAATTGCAAATATATAAAAAAAGAGAAGGCAGAAAGTGTATCATGCATTATGTTATCATTATGTACAAAGTGGAAAGAAGAAAAAAAAATAGTAGCAACAACAAACAAAAATTGAATAATACAAAGCAGACGAAAACATAACGACCGGTATAAAATCATAATGTGTCTATGTTCTATGAGAAAGACCAATTAAAAATAATTTTTTCAAGACAAACACAAGTCTATCCTAATGGAAACAAATTATTAAAACGTCTAATATCAAGAAAGCGATAGCGTACTGAAGAAAAAGAGAGAGAGAGAGAGAGAGAGAGGATGACAACGAGATCAACAATCATAGAAAATATAGAAAAGTAGAAAACAGTTCATATCCTACTTCAAGAGAGAAACAAAAATGTTTGACAAGGCACTATAATACTTAAAGGACATATTCAAAACAAATAATACTAGGATTTAAACTTATTTGGGACGAGCAGGTAATGTTGATGATTTTTGTTTGGATGATTGACCAGATTGATTAAATAAATTTGATGCTGAGGAACTGATACTTGTATTAGGTGAACGAAATGATGTTGAACTTGTCCTAGAAAATAAACGGTAAGATAAAATTAATAAATAAATATTTGCATAATAGTCGACACAAACACAACAAAACAGTAATTTAGAAGCAAATGCGTTTTCATGTATGACAGATAAATTAACATAATGATCATAAGTATAGAGTTTAATCAGTATATGAACAAAGCACATTAATGAAAAAGAGAATAAATAATATATCCATAGTTTACTTTCAACTGTGATTATGAAAAATATCTCATCGAATAGTACTGTAGCTTATTTAACTTCAGTTCTTTCATTTTAAGACAAATAAAAAAAAAAATTTGAATCGGTGATGCTAAAAGGACATGTATGACAACACAGATGATAGTAGTATATAAATGAAACAATAACCATCCACAAAACAAGTATCAAACAACACGTTACTTTTTTCGGCAAAATTCATTTTCTTCAAAATAAAATATAAAGAATAAAGTTACATATGAGTAGTGAAGTGAACATTTCATCATGTTCTGATTCAACACAATCTCAAAAATATCTTGTTAAGAGATAAAATAAGCAAAATCTTATACTAGGTTGAACAAAACGTTCGCGGTCATTTGCAAAAAATTATAACTTGGTTTGGATTTGTTTCAAAGACTCGATGCTTTTTTTAAAAGATGCACGGTGAAATATTCTACAAAATCATACCTAAACTATAATTTCAGACCTTCAATGAAGAAAACTAAGCCAAATAGACGAAAGTCGAAAAAAATGTAAACTTTCTAAACTCAAAAATGATTTCTTGTGTTGATGTTTTGAAAGTAAGAAAAAGTGAATTAGCCGTTTTGTAACCCTGATTTCGCTCTATCGTTTATCTACACTTCAAATTTTTCACATCAAAAGCCACAGCAAAATAATCGTTTTTCTAGCGGTTGTCATGCATTTATTAAATTTTGGGTATAGTAGTGCTTTCGATAAAAGTCCCATAACTCCATCAAAATAAAAGCTTTTTCGGTCGGATTTGCTTTGTTTTGATCAGAAATGATTGCTCTTCTCTATCTAACTGCAAAATCAATCTTCGATCATCTTTTCCGTTTCTTGATTGAGCACATTATTGGAAACGGTGAGGCTGGCAACTTTTGATGTATTTTTGTAACTTCGTTGTCGAGCACACCATCTGCTCTAAAAATGTCTTTTTACAGACCACGAGAAAGAGCACATTTGAAAGTATCAAACATAAACTGAGTTCTCTCTTTTGAACTGAGTTCTCTCTTTGAAATATTAGCAGAAGAAAAACGTTAAGTCGAAAAAAATTTTAAGTTTAGAAAGTTTACATTTTTTTCGACTTTCGTCTATTTGGCTTAGTTTTCTTCATTGAAGTTCTGAAATTATAGTTTAGGTATGATTTTGTAGAGTATTTCACCGTGCATCTTTTAAAAAAAGCATCGAGTCTCGGAAACAAATCCAAACCAAGTTATAATTTTTTGCAAATGACCGCGAACGTTTTGCTCAACCTAGTACAGTTGTTGAATTAAAACGAACAAGTCAAAATTTAGCAAATCATCTCAAAATTTTATTTCTAGTTGTAGCAGAATAGTCAAGCGATTAGCACACACTAACTAACAGTAGAGCGTCTGATACCAAGGATTTTGAATACTTAAAAATCACAGTATTTTACTATGCAAAAAGAATTCACTGCATTTAATTTTTAATCATGTATACACGCTACTTTATTTTTATTGTCGAACGTCAGTGTCGAACACAATAAAAATTTAAAATCGGTATATGCAAATCATATTGGAATCACTAAAAACGACACAATCGACTAAGTATTCTTCTGAAAATCCAATAGAAAATTCTTATTCTAATAGAGCTGAAAATTACCGACTATTCATAAATATTATTAAACGAATGTCGCTTGCATATAGGAAAATGCACAATGTCTCCTCCTAAAGATAGGCTCTTTCTCTCGTTTGTCTGCATATGCATATAGAAATTAATTTAAGAAGAAAAATAAATGGTAAAGTACCTGGAAGAACCTGATTGATCATGTGAGGAGATACCACGACGAGGTATTTTTCTGCTTAATTTTGTGATCCATAGTTTTTGTTCTCCTTCTGAAGAACACATAACTAAAAGTTCTTTTACGGATAACTTGTCGTTTACTAAAAAAATAAAAAATAACTATGAATATTTCTGAAATCAGATGTAAGAAGAAGATAATTGTATTACCTCGACAAGGTTGAATAAATTCTTCTTTATCATCATAATGTTGTTTATGACATCGAACATGACACCTTGTACATTCTAGACAAGGTGGTGGACTAATTAAATGGTAACATGGACGATTACATGTTTCACAATTTGTGGGCATACGATAGGCAACAACAACAAAATTATGTCCTTTATATTCAATACTTTCACCACTACCACCACGAATTTGATCCTATTTGAGAGCAATAACGTAAAAATAAAATATATATAGAATAATGTGTAAAGAGACAAAACAAACCTGTGACGGTGCATTTGAGCCTGATATTGAAGTCGAATTAAGCAATGTCTGTCCTTCACTATCATAAAGTACTTGAAATATTTTTGGAATAAGATTTGCATCAACGCGAATTACATCACCTGAATTTTAAACATACATCAAAATTTTTATAATTAGCACAAATTATGAAGAAAAGCAATAATTACCTTGTGTAACAGCGCGTACATGATATAATTTTCTGAAGAAAAAAAATTATTTATAAAATATACATAGTGATAATTGTGTCACAGAATAATTAGACTACTTACTCCATATCAATTGAAAGTGCAGCTTGTTGATCTTTTTCTGAATTATAAAGCAACAACTTATTTTTAGCAATAACAGCAAATTGTCGTTTCCAACCACCACGACGAATGTTTCTTGTTGGTATCTGAACCCAACTTTCCAATCGATCTAAAAGCAAATAAATATCTGTTACAGTTGAATGTTTTACTAAACCATGTAAACTACGAAACCTTTTGTTTCATCTTCAAATTCTTCACTTGTTAATGACACATTATCAATACTGCCACGTAATTCTAATTGTCGTTTTAATTTTTCTATATCATCACGTCGCAAATCCAATTCACGTTTCAGTTTTGTTATATCATCATTCAATACTGATATTTCTTCTTCTTTCTCACTTTGTAATTTTTTATATTTGTTACGTTCCTATAAATTACAAAAAAAGTCAAAAAAAAGAATGTTTATAATTGTACGAAATAAACGTATACTCACCGCTTGCATTTCTTGTTCAAGACGTCTGGCATGATTTCGTTCATTGTGATCACGATCTTGTCGACGGCCAGCTTTAGGATTTGGTAAAAATGGATTCTTTTGCAAGGGATTTGTAACAATTTCTTGTAGTTTTTTCACAGCCTAAGATATAAAGCGAATATTCGATTAAAAAGTCAATATAATAATCACACAAAAAAAGGAGCAGAAACCAAAAATTATTCATAGCGAAATAGATTCTCGTACTAATAAAATCATGTTTTAGCACTTTTTACAAAACAAACTACAATAATGATGATCTTTGTACGAGTTCAAATTTTAGGGAATAATAAAATATTTAGCAAAATCAACGCAAATTGTCTTAATACCCTTGTGTAATGAAAAATATCAATTGTATTAAAAAATTTTGTATCTGTTCTGGTCTTATAATTATCTGTGAGAGAAAATATTGTCTTGAACGTACGTTAAAATGTTTGACTACACTTACAGCTTCTGTTTTTGTTTTTTCATCTTGAACTTTTTTTCTTAATTCAATTACTTGATGTTCTAAATCATGTACTTCTATAAGAGAAAAACACAAAACCTATTAAATAGTCGATTAAGATAGTAAAATATTAGCATACGATCAATAGCGGTTTTAAATTTTGAATTTAGATTCTCTCGATCTTTAATTGATTGTTCAAGTTCATGTTGTCCTTTATTATACATATCACGAAACTAAAATAATTATCTGTTTATCATTAGACAAATACAACAATGTTAAATGATTTACTGTGTTGATTTCTGAATCGAGTACACCTAATCTGGCATTGAAATCTGTATGAAGTGCTTCTACTTCAATAATCATAATATTTTTCTCTTTTTCAAATTCAGCACATTGTTCTTGAAGTAAATTTAAATTTAAACTTTCCGTTTTTAACTTGACATTTGTTAATTCCAATTGTTTTAATAAATTATCTCTATAAGGATAAAGGAAAGTGTCATTAAGCAGTTATTAGAAAATAAACTGTGATAATAACATAATCTAATTTTTTTACCTTTCTTCCTCAATATTCTTCTTTTCATTATAAAGTTGTTTACTTTTGTCGTTTAATTCATTGATTTCATCTTTTAATTCGTTCATTTGTGTCCGATATAATACGGAAAATTTACTTTCCACTAAATGAACGACAGATTTTTTATACATCTATTTAGTAATATACTCATTTTAATTACCTTCAAATTGTTCTTCATAATCAATCAGTTTATTTTTCATCAACTCATATTCATCCCACGCTCGTTTTTGTTCCCCTAATAATCGTTCATTTTCTTTTCTTATTTGTATTATTTCAGATTGATACTGTTTTTCTTTTTGAATATACAATTGTAAAGTTTGCTGTAATTGTTTAGATTCTTTATCGTATTGTTGTCGACGTTGATGATCGATTTCATTCTGTTCATATAATTGATCATACGATTGTTTTAATATTTGACAATCATTCGATAATTGATTATAATTTTGAACTATCTGTTTATAATCAATTTCTAACATACGTAAATTTTTCTGAGTTTGAATAAAGTCTTCATTGACTTTCTTGACAGACAAACGCTCAAAATCCAATTTCTTTTCAAGTTCTATAATAAAATATTCAGTTAAAAGACGTCTCGATTCGTATCCATACTTGTTTACCTTTAATCGTATCATGATTACCATCATCTACATGCATCACAGGACGTTTTAACTTTTCAACACCTAATTGTTCGTGGAGTTTTTTTTGTGACGTCTCTTCTTGGATCAATTTTGTTCTCATCGTCTCCATTTCAAATTGTAAATTAAGCTTTTCCTATAAATAAAAAAGACATCATTTAATAGACATTTAATAATTAAACTATCCCATACTCGTTCTATAGCAGCTGTTGTTTGTCGAAATTCATCTATTTGTGCTGTTTGTGATGAATCCTTTTCTTTATATTTTCCAATTTCAATTGTCATTGAATTACATTTTTCTAAAAAAAATAAAAATAAAATTGAAAAATTTTCAGTTTCAACTAGTATTTATCACTTCCATACAACCTTCAAGTTCATGTATTTTATCAAGTGCCATATATTTTGCATTTTTTTCTTGTTCAATTGTTGTTTGTTGATTCAGCGAATCTTTTTCCAATTTTAGTTTAATTGCAATTAACTCTTGATATTTCTCGTGTAAATCAGTTTGTGTACGTTCGATTTGTGAATAACTCTTTTGTAATTCTTGATATTGTTTCTTTAGACGAATACCAATATCAGTTTCTGTTCGCAATTTTTCATTTGATTCGTTTAGCTTTAAGGAAACATAGTACCATAACATAATAGTTCAATAAACTTCTCGTTTTTATCTTCTGTTATATGAATAGAAGCAAATTTTTTTCGGACGCTCAGACATTTCTCAGCAACCATATACAAGAGTTAGTAAAACGTTCAGAAATGATTTAGACTAATCAACACTACAAAGTTCATTCATGTTACCTGTCTCTCTAGATTTGTAATTTTTTCTGTCCATTCACGATTTGTATTGACCATTTGATTTTTTCCATATCGTTCATTTTCAAATTGCCGTTGTGATTCTTCCAAACTGATTTCGAGTGCACGACGATTTTCTATTTCCATTTCATGTTTTCGTTGAGCCTAGGAATATTTGCATAAATAAATGGCTATTATTCCATATGATAGACACAATAACTTACTTCTTTATTTTCTGTTTGAAGAACAACATTTTTCCTTTCTAATTCAAAAATTTTTGTGTTTAACACTTTCTCATCTTGACATTTAGCATTCAAATCATCATGCAAACGTCTAGAAGAGAAAAAACAAAGAAAAAACAATCTTATTTGTTAATCTTCCATCTTACCTCAATCTAGTCTCCAATTCAGTTCTGACACGTTCACTTTCTTGAAGTTTTTGTTCAAATTCAGCACTATTATAATCAAGCTAAAACAGCAAAGTACATTTTATATTATTTATTATGTACATGACAACACTTACTTTTATATTTCGCCTCTCCAAAAACGGTCTAAAAAAAAATCAAACGTGTTATATGCACAGAAAAGACTCTAGTGTAAACTTACTGTTGTTCATTTGAAAATGAAAAGCCAACAAACGGCAGTTGATTTCCAACAAAAGTTTTATTAACAGAAAATGATTCTTCGGTGGGCGCATCATTTTTATCTATTTCGTCAAAATTGCTTGTGTCTTCTTCATTCGTTAAAGGTGGTACAATTGGAACCGAAGCTGAAAGAAAGAACAATCGAGAACTGTGCATTATCGAGAAAAATCCGCAAATGTACCTTTTTTTATTGTCTCCCAGGTCCATTCCGCTTGAGTAAAAAAGGTATGTGCTTTTATTTCTGATACACCATTCTTTCCCAAACGAACTGATCTAAAAAGAACGTTCCTTATTTATACTTGATGAGATAAAAATTTGACAAACATTACCTGTCTGTTAAAAACGCACAAATAAGACTTTTCGCTTCTCCAGATAGAGAAACTTCTTCAGGAAATATTAGATTTTCACGATGATTCATAATTTTATGATATGTACCAACTAAAGACTCAGCATAAAATGGTGTTTCACCTAAAAATCAACCGTTAGCTAATGCTTTGTAACTAAAGAAGTGATGAGAAACGTTGAGCTTTGCTTACCGACAAGCATTTCATACAAAAATACGCCAACAGACCACCAATCTACCTCTCGACCATATACACCCGTTGTACTCTGCGATTTCAATATTTCTGGAGAGATATAATCTACGTGAAGGAAAAAAAATTATGTCCACGTTCGACATTTAAATCGTGCCTTTTATGATTATTAGAGACATTAGATGATTACATACCAGGTGTACCAACAGCAGTATCGGATCTGACCAATCCATCCTTTAAAAGAAAAAGATAAATAAATACTAATTAGATAGGAAATAGATATTAAACTATTTATACTACCTTATCCATTTTAACACAAGTGCCAAAATCAGCTAATTTTAAATGTCCGCGAGAATCAAGTAACATGTTATCTGGCTTAACATCTCTAAATTAAATCATAAACAAAGTCAAACTAATTTAATGAGTCGATTTTTACGCAACAACCTGTGAATATAGCCTAATGAATGTATTGCATCAAGTGCCAAAACAACTTCTGCACAATAAAACCTCGCCGAATTTTCATTGATATCGTATCGTGTTAATAATGTAATAAGATCACCACCAGGCATGAAATCCATAATCATATAAAGATTCTTTGCATCTTGAAATGCATAATGTAATTGTACGATCCAATCACTGTTTGAAAATGCCATGATATTACGTTCTTCCCAGAAAAAGGCACTATCTGAACGCTTAAGCTAAACGAAACAAAAGAGAGCAGCTATTAGCCATTTTTGATGTAAATCAAATAAAACAAAAAATATTCAAATTTGCCGGACACACAAGTCCACAAAAACAGATAAACAATTGATTTGTTTAGTGTTCTGTTCGAGTAACAAGATAGCAGCTTACCATTTCGAATTTACTCAATGTTTTCATTGCAAAAATTTGTCCAGATGTTTTTTTACGTACCTAAAGAAAACAAAAGTTGGATTAATCAACAGACAGATTCTGGTTTTTCACACGTACAAGATGTACTTCTCCAAATGCTCCGCGTCCGATAACTTTGAGCATAGAAAAATCATCCAGATTTACTCGTTTTTCTTTTATATCTCGTGTAGATACATTATCTAAATATATATTATACAGGATTGGATGAATGATTTATGCAAATTCTATGACACTTACATTTTGTGTAAAAACTTTCAAAATTTTTTGTCTTCTTTAGTCCTTCTGAATCATATATTAAGGCTGTTATGGAATCCTAAGTAGAAAAAACAGATGAGAACTGAATTTCTCAATATCATTGAGAAGAACATACAAGTAAACTGTCGATAGAAATATTCGATCTTGGATCAGCAATCCTATCTTCAAGATATCTAGCGCGTTGTTGATCATTCGTTGTTCCAGTGTAAGCCATCATGACCATGTTCTCTTCTTATCATGAAACAATCATTAATAAATTACACATGTCTATTAGTCTCTTCAAATTAAACGTCCTATGTTACATTCGATAATACTTGTCGGCCATCTAAAAGCAGAACAGATAAAAGAACTATATGGATTTAGTAGTTACGAAGCATTCGTATTAACTCTACAAATGAAATTCACGTGTTCAATATTCAAAATCTCTCTGCAAATAGACTGTGAAAATGCTCTAAGACGTAAAGAAGTAATTATTTATAGGTTAGGACTTCTGAACCAGAAGAATAGAGTTATCATTGATGGCTTCCTTCATCTTGAGATGGAAAGAAGGACTGTTGTTGCTGCAAAGAATATTCTGCACTCTTAATGTTACCTAGCCTTAGGCTCAAAAACAAACACAGGAAGCAAACACACAGAAATTAACCCTGACAGCGTACAGTCGATTCTACAACTTGAATTCCTGCAAAGTAATATACAACAGATATTGAATTTAGTTTGCTGTTTATTACAAACCCAGGTCCATGAATTAGAATTTGTATTTGTATAAAACTGATTTTTGTTTTTCCGATCCTTTAAATTTTAGAATACTATAACGGATTTACTTTTTGGAAGAAAAAAGCTCAAATAAATGAGACGACAAAGAACGATATGGTCATGCCCCGACGATATACATCAAGAACTCTCAGATTTTCGTAGTATATCAAGAAAAGCTTCGGTTGACATGCTGACCATGAGCATTGCGTCTGCTGCTCATCTTTGTAGGACACTTTAGAAAAGACACATTGAATTTAGTATTGAGTAAACAAACAGGTTTTTCAATATAGAACTGTGAGAGAAAGCACATACCAAGTACCCTTGATAGTTTCGGCTTATTGATCAGTGATCAAATAAGCAAATAAAAATAGAAAAAAAAATTTTTTTAGTCACGATAAGCTACAATGACTGCGCTGTAAAAATGACAAAATCGCCATTGAAATGATATTTGTATCTCCAACTATAGTTATTTTAAATGTACCCTTTGGAGAAAAAGGTGAAGATAGATGGTAGAAAGCTTTTAAACCATATCTTTGGTATTTTATCAAATAAACTAACGCTTATGATGAGATAAAAATCTCAAAGCTTTCTTCAATTTTGAGTAATGTCGTAGATGTCACTAGTAACGTTATACGGCACTACCGACGCTGCTCTTTTTATATCGCTTTTTTTTTTGTTAACAAAAGTCGTTTCATTTAAAGCTATAAAAAACTAATTGAGCGACTGTTACTACCATGAATCAGCTATTTGTTATTGCATGAAACACTTTTTTAATAAGGAAAATATGCATGATGATCATAGTTATACGGAGTCGAATGACTAGATGCTAGCCCTAGCGAATGTACCCGAGCACTTACAGTTTTCTTAGGTACTTATGCAGGTACCCTACTACACGAATGTCATAGGTGCTTGATTTTTTTTGATTAAATATTGCTTGAGAGACACCCAATTACTTGTGCTGGGCGCAGGTTTTTTTCGTTTACCGTTTTGTTTTCCGTTCAGACACATATAAAAGAAAAACATATGCTTGACGTGCGTTTTTATCTTCGCACGATCACCTAAAATAGCTGACTGTTTAGGTATCCGCTAAGTAATATTTTAGCTGCAAGCAACTATGACATTCTTGCACAAGGGAACCTAATTCGGATAAGTACGTTCAACTATATCCACTAGGGTACTCATCAAACTCATCAGACTTTTAAAATAGCCATGACTACAACTAGATGATGGAAAATCATAATGCTAAAGAATATTAATCGAAAATTTGTTCATCGATTCTTTACCGTAAGTTAACCTCCACATAAGTATCCAAAAAATAGCTCTTTTCTCAGAAAAAAGATGCTAATACTATCCTTTCATCAACATTGCTTGTTAGTCAGTAATGATTAAAAAATTATAATTGATTGATTAATCCATAACGTTATAACTCGAGAACTCAATCGCTTTTTGCCTAAAGCTCGAGTGCCATAGTCTTCAATAAGCACTCATATATAAAATACATCGATTTATTTCAGAGATCAAATATTTAGAAAATAGTTATGTGAATATTTGGGCTATTCCAGATTCGGTTGAAAATAAGCATAAATCTATTATAGAAGCTATTGGAGTAAATTTTTCTACTCAAAATGTGCGTAAGTAACTATATTCGCCCTGGATGAGAAGAAGCAGTACTGCTGCATTTTGTTTCATTATGTAGGTTAGAATATTTTAGATGAACTTTCCATAAGGAAACAAAACGGAGAACAGCTTAGAACTGGATGGTTAGATGTTTTTTATCAGATTATCGTTTTTCTTTGATATTTCACATAGACTATTGCATGAAACATTCGGTAATGGTTCTCTATTTGTTTCTCTTTATTGTATTATATTCAGATAACTTTGCTTTTCTTTAAAACTGATTAGTAGTTTCATAATTTATCTCTTTTTACTTTTTATATAAAAGGTGAACTAATGAGATATTAAAACTGAAAAGCAAATAAGAAAACCAACGCAGTCAGTTATCATAGATTCTCAAGCTTTGGAATGCACAAATCATATTTCTCATATAAACCTTAATACCTTATAAAGTTTTAAAGTCATTTGAAATTATATTGAGTGATTTTGATACTTGAACTAGCCTTTCTACGTGCGCCACCCTCGAGATTGCCTTTCTGCAACGAAAAAGCGATTGTAAACAAAATTTATTTGATATTGAGTGGTTTCTTAAATTTCAATATTGAGTGAAAATTGCTAAAGGAAGTGCTTCCATCTAATGTGTCTGTTTACTAGCTTTTTACAATTTTCTGCGCAAATAATTACTATGAAAAAAAGATTCGTAAAGTTTTTTCTTTAAAAACGATACATTCAATAGGCTTCTTTTCTGAATAATGAGAACCCTAAGTCTCTAGGTATCACCATTTAAAAGTTATTCAAAGAATATGTACGGGCACTCTTTTTTTAATGGACGATATCTGGAAGAAAATGTAGTTGTAAGATAAATCTGATTCCAAAATGGTCGCGATTTATTCTAAAACAAATATTTTTAAATTCTTAATTTTACAAACAGTTTCTACTGTTCATATGCAACTAGTTATCAAGATTTTTCAAATAGCATTCATATAAAGATATAGTTATGGTACGTTCAATATTCGATCTACTTTTTAAATGCATTCTCAAGATGTACAGATAGTTTGATACGTCATCGAAAATGTGAATACTATGGAGCCGAACATTTTTACATTGACTCTCACTATATATCTTGATTTTTAAAACAATATAACGCAATTTTTAAGCGTGCAAAATAGGTGCATTTAGTGATATGAATCTTGATTTAATCTCAATATTTAACACCTCGGATATTATGCATGACCTCGAAACTTTATCTTTTCTATGCGTTTTATGTTACATAAAATTTTCTGTTTTTTTCAATATCAGTTCTAAGGACACATCTGTCCAACGTTTCTTGTAAATGAGAAATTGTACACGTTCCACTGTTACTCATCTAGTAACAAATGATGACGAATAATCGTGATTAAATATCCAGTCATCTCACTTTTTCAGTTTTAAGAACCTACAGTGAAATGACGTACAATATTTTTCTTTTTGTAGTTCGATTGAAACAACGTTTCGTCTTTCGTTAGAAGAAAATTCATTTTTGTATTAGTCATTTTTCCATGAATGTTGCCAGTGCATCGATTAAGTTTTGTAACAAATTGAATCAAACTGATTTTGATGTATTATAATTTTCACAAAATATTAATCTAAAAAAAAAAAGTAGCATATTCGAAATTATTTTGAACATTTTAAATGATTGTATTATGTACATCTACTTTTTTTTCTAACAAATAAAAAGCTGTTACGAAAATCTAAAAGTAAACAACACCCCCAAATACTCGATTTCTACGTCTTCAATGAGATATGACGACATACTCTTATCTGCGATAATCAGATTTTTATGTTACGAAATGCATTGCATACTGATCATATCATTCTTCGTTGTAATAGATTCTGTATATATGTGTGTGTGCCAGACTTAATATAAAACATATATTAAGCCAGAGACAGTGCAAATATGGCTTCTCTCATAGATCATAAAGACTACGTGTATGATTAATCAATCAACGCATTGAACATCATTGATTGATATGAGATGAACATTTTTTTCCTCACAAATTAGTTATGTAGATGAATGAAGAAAAACAATTGAGAAAGTTTAGCGAACAAAAGAGACTGTTGATTTATATACTTATCAAGTAAACAATTAACAGAACAAGTGTACATCTGCGTAACGCAAGATATTTTCTTGAACTTTTTAGTCGTTGCCCATGATCAAACCCGATGCTGAACTCGTAATCGTGACAAATAACTCGTTAGTTTAATAGTGAACAAGAGAAAAAATCAAGAATACAGGCGGATAGAGATAGATTTTTCAAGATGGCTAGTGACTTACTACAGAAACATGAAATCTTTGCTGTCAAAAATGAAAACTTTTTTCCAAGATCGGTACGAGTGCAAATCATATGCATCAACCGCCAGTGTAAGATTGTAAAAAATAATTTTCATGCGGCACTGCTGGTGTTCATGGCATGCCGTGGATCGCTGACATCCATACTCATAAAGTCTACCGTACACCGGATAAGTACTCTTTGATATCCATTAAAAATCTCATTTGGCTAAAATGCGACCCGACATACAAACTTTCTTTTAGTGTGAAAATAAAACAAATAATTGTGAGAATCAAGCGATGTTTGATAAATTTATATTAAATAAATAAATAAGAAAACAAGGCGGACTGTTAGATATAAAATTAACTAAACAGTAGAACATATAGGATATGAGTTTCAATAGTTTCATTTGTTATGACAACGGAAATATATGGGTATAGACATTATTCTTTATTAATTTAATAAAATAATTTGAAGGAAACAACGAAATTGAGGACAAATGAGGCATTTCGATTAATGCGCAGATAACGGTGAGTATACTTCGGTA